GATAGATAGATAGATAGATAGATAGATAGATAGATAGATAGATAGATAGATAGATAGTCTGCCTTGTGGCCCCATTTAATATTCTCTGGTTTAGATAATGGCTAAGATACCTCTTCCTTCTGTGAATCAGATGCTCAGGATCCAGGTGTCTGTGGCTCATGAGAGGCAGAGATTCTTGCTGTCTATTGAGAACAGTGGCTAGGGAAATCCTTGTATACTCTACTTGAAGACACATACTTATGTCAAGTTCACTCAGTGATGGAGTCCTCAACTGTGAGAAAGAAATCACTACCAACAAGAGGCCTTCATGAAACAGATTCCTGAGAGCTGGCCCTAAAGGTTCTGATTCAGTTAGTCATGGGGCAGAGATGAGATGGCGTGGATGTTCAGGGAAGCCATTGCTAGTAAGAGTGCAGTTAAACACATGACTGACATGAATGTAGACAGTTAAAAATCCAGAAAGGCAAAGCTGAGATCATTAAGACATGCCTGTATCATGCCAAACACCTGTGAGGAAAACAGCAAAGACCTGGTCCTCTGAGAATATCAAATAACCAAAACTCAGGGAGACTATCAATGCCTCAGTTAGTTACTTCCCGTTTGTATAAATCACAATATTTATGAATGGGTGAGGGTGGGAAGAGTGGAAGTCACTGCCTACTCACCTCTGTGAATGGTACAAAATCCCCCTGTCATCACCTCAGGAAACATATTCAGTTAATTATGTGTTGAGACTTTTTCTTTTCAGTTACAAAAATAGAATTCCCTGGCTTCTTTGTAATTTACTTACCAGCCTCCTAGACTTGTACATCAATTATCAATTGATATTATCAATTATCGATCATATTTTTCTATAGAAGCAAACTAATTTTGCAGTTAGCATTAACTAAAGGAAACAATGAAGGAAAAGGTTCATGTATGACCACAGAGTATATCATTTATGTCAAAGTGCATACTAAATCTGCCACTTACAGCTCTTTTTCTCCTTGTTTCTCTGTAGGTTGACAATATTTTTTAGAGCTGATTCATACATAGTTTCTAAGGGCTGAGTTTGTAGAGGTATCAAACGGACGAGACAGGATAGCCTTTCCCCAGCTCAGTGATGTAGTTTTCGTCCTTTCCACAAGGAAGATTATTTGAATGTCAGCATAGAGAGTGAATGTCTAAAAGGCACACAGTGAGCATCTATTCTAGTCTTGAGCGCGGTTTCAGGGAAAGCGAAGCTTGGAATCACCTGTGGAACACGTTATGTGTTCAGTCATGATATTGAGATAGGTTGCATACAGGAAAGCCAGGTCCAAATACGCATTGAACCCAAACACACAGACACAGACACAGTCACAGTCACACACACACACACACACACACACGCACGCACGCACGCACGCACGCACGCACCGTAGCACGCATGCACGCAGGCACGCACACACGCACGCGTGCGCACGCACGTCCTACAGAAACTAAGACTACGCCAGTGTTACACCACTTTCCTCCCGCAACAATGGCAGTTTCATACACCCCAACTTTTTCTTATCGTGGAAAAAGGGAGAGAGATAAACAACTTTTCCTTTTCCACAAACAAGTTGCCTAACTTCCTAAGTTCAATAAACAAACAAACAAACAAACAAAAAACGGTGACACTTCCATGCCATTTGACACTCTTTCTAGGATGTTTTTCCTCTTCGCTTTTATTGATGAAATGCCAGTGTCCCGTGCATCAGGAGTTTAAGTGTCCAAGATTCAAAGAACATAAAATGGCTTTGCTCTCCATCAATCGTCCTCTATTGCTCTTTCCAGGGCTGCGTCTGCAAAGACAAGGGCCCGTGCCTCTGCGTGGGGACCAAAGGGGAGAAGGTAAGAACAGAACATCCCGCTGCCTCTTCACACCAGAGATGCCCTGAGTCTGTCACACTTTGCTCTTCTGTAGTGGAGATCTTCACTACGTTATCAAGTCCCCTAAATCCACGTTTAAAGTAATTGTATATAAACATTAACCTTAAACAATGTTGAAAGCCTTCTAGGAAGCTTTGGCTACTCCTGCTTCCTTGTGTAAATACTGGCAGTTAGACTGTAACTCTCTCGGCTGAATAAGTAGCAAGTTGGCAGAAAGAGAACATTTTAAGACGCCTCCCTAGCATACACTATATTTATGATGTTGCTAAACATGAGAGAAGTAACTAAAACAACTTGATTCTCTCGCTTCTATGTAAACATTGACTGAAACCCACAGATGCGGTGCCGCAGCACTGGGACAAGATCGCCACCTAGTGGTAAAATCCAGCAGCAGCACTCCAGACAAGGAAAAAAAAAATTTCAAAGCTCCATTGCAGAATTAAAAGAAAAAGAGTGCTGTGAAATCTCATCAGTTCGCCCCATTAACTCGCAATTTATGAAAATTAAGACAGGCAGAGATAAAGTATTTTTGTTTGTTTACAAACTCCTTCCTCGGAGACATTAATTAATTATTCAACAATAATGAAGGGTAACTAACAGCTAGACACACAATGCAGTCCTCAAACATGGGAAAGGAAGTGAGCTGTGGGGTGTAGCAAATCCACTTCTGTCTGTTTATCAGGTGTGCTTGCCTACATACCAGTGTAAAGTACCAGACTTTCAATCTTTTCTGTGGCTTTGTGTAGTCATTTATCTATTTATTTATTTGTTGCATTTACCAGTTGAAACAAAACAAAGTAACTCGTGCTTTGACTGCTAAAGACTATTTCCCGGTATTCACATCCATGGGAATGTTTTGGTTTTTTTAAACTCAATTCTACCAGGGCCCATAGCATCATTTAACTCCACCTACAAGATCACTTAGCTCCCACTTTGCCGTATGTTGCCCTTGACACCTCTCCTGCAGCTCCTATGAGAATAGCCGATTGGAGGATGCATTCCCGTGCAGCAACAAAAGGTCTCCGGTCCGTGCTTCTGTGGTATTCTGTTTTCATTCTGTCATTCCTAAGACCTCAAAACAAGGCCTTCCACCTCACCCTCACCATCTCCACGCCTTAATAAACACACTCCACCAACCTTAATTTTCTAACCGTACTGTCCTTTCTATTCTTGGTTCCTTTTCTTCTAACCTCTATCCTGAGTAGTAGGTCTAGATTCCGGGAAAAGACAATCTCTACAAGGACATGAGCATCACTCCGAAGCCTACGGACACGTGTCTCTAGATGATGGTTTGCCTGGGTGCCGAGTGTGACTATTGACTCTTTGATTTAAGAGAATAATGTCTTGAAGAAGAGAAGGCTGGGGTGTGGCACAGCCTGTTGCTGGTTCACTGCTGCTTGCTTCTTCTTTTGTTTTGGTTTTAACAGGGGGAGAAAGGCTGTGCTGGGCCCCCTGGTTTACCTGGCCAGAAAGGATTTCCAGGTCCTGAAGGCTTGCCTGGACCACAGGGACCCAAGGTATGTCACCCTTCAAGCTTGGTTAATCCTCTATTTACCTAAACCATTTTCATGCCCACCACATAGGTCACTGAGGCCCTGAAGAGAATTTCCCATCATAGCCACCTGATGGATGAAAAACAAATCCTTGGTCTCCTATCCTAGCTGAGCTTTCGGAGGTACATTCTTGGTCACCCCGACCCTGTGTAGTTTCTAGCCATGAATCTGGCCAAGCTTGTCTTACATGGAAGAGTGAGGTCTTCTGGCCAAGCTTGTCTTACATGGAAGAGTGAAGTCTTTCCTGCTTCGCTGAAGATCTGTCCTTCCACCTGTGCCCTGACCACTGGAATTCCCAGCATCACTGTGGTCCGGGAGTACCTCCTCTCTAAGGGCCTTTGAACTATGTTTTTGATGCTGGCACTTCTCTTTTAGTGCTAAAATATGCAAATATTCTTCTATACTGGCCTATACCTTCATCTAGTTTCCTTAGGTACCCTAGCCAAAGGTTATCAACCTCTCCTTGTCTTTTCTGTAGGTCAGGTTCTTGAAGCAATAGTTAATGTGGTACCTGTTGGTCTCCTGCTCGTCTCCCCTCAGCCAGTGACCTCTAAATGGCCACTGAGAGGGGTGCTTTTGCGTCTTTACTTGACACGAATCTCTTCTTTGATTCCAACTGAGTGGGTCTGGAGGCCTCTGTCTGCCTTTGGTTTTGGAAGTCCCTACTATTGATTCTCTTCCTGTCTCCCTAGCCACCTCTACCTTTGAGGGGTCTGTTAAGCATCAGGCTTCTAAGGTCTATAACAGAGACTGCCACCCTCACACTTGCCACACACCTTTACCCTAAAAGGCTGTGATGCACAAAGGGCCTTGTTTCAATAAACACTCGAGGGGATTTGCTAAATAACTGCATCATGAGATCCGCTGCTCATACCTTCGTACTGGTGACATTAGCTAGACAGACACTGGTGCTCTCAGGCACACAAACTCTCCTGACTACTGGTCTCCAGCAAGCTGTAGACTAATAACCTATTTTAAAAAATCATTGTAATTGATCTTTGTGGGATCTTTCAAAATTGTAAACTGTATTGACACATCTATTAGAAAAATGCATAGAACGCTTAAGGGATATATTTACCCCAATCTTAGCACTGACCCAATTATTTCACCTCGTATTTCATTTCTTCCTCATGTTGGTTCTGTGATGTGTACACAGAACTCAAGGAGACCTTCCTGTTCACCACCTCGTTATAAAGGACACATGTGAATGGACACATAGGGTTCACTGAAGGTGCTAGTGTAGGTACTTTCATCCCCTGGAAGTGAAGTGTCTCGCTCTCCTGGCTCATGGATGCCCACCTGCCCAGAGCTCTCCATAACACCTCAGGCTAGAGACTCTTGCAGACACTCCCTCTAGGAGGCAGGAGACTCTCCTCACCCAGAGCTCTAGCTCCCCTTCACCCTAGACAGTGGGGCTGCAACCAGAGACTCCTAGCTTCTGATTAGGGATTAGCCTTTCTGGCGACCAGCCCCGAGCCAGGAGCCTGCCAAAAATCCCCTCATCAAAAGATGTCTCTCGATGTGTTGGGGGATTCTGAGGGATCTTGGAGCTCTATGTGTGGAGTCAAATATTAGGAGGCTAAAGACAATCCTTGTATCTCAACCTCTAAGGAAGGATGAAGGCTCTTGGGAGCTATAGGCCAAGCACTAAAGGCAGAGACAAGTATCTGTGGACCGCACCTAAGCGACCAAAGCCATCCTTACAGTTTACAAAACACAGCCTGATGCCCAGGGGTTCTACCATTCCTGTCTGTCTGGTCCAAGCCAGTGTTCTCTTCCTCCTTTTCTTCTTCTGATGCTAATCTTGAATTAGCTAGGATGGGCAAGACGGCTGAGAAGGTAAAATGTACTGGCTCTATTAGCATGAGGACCTGAGTTCAGATCCCCAGTACCTCTGTGAAAGTCAGACATAGCAATGCGCATCTGTAACCCCGGGGCTGGGAGCAGAGGGACAGAGAAGGGATCTGTGGAACTCAATAACCAGCCAACCTAACTGAACCAATTAACACTCCCAATTCAGTGAGAGTCTCTGAAAACGTAAGGTGCAGAACAATAGAGAAAGATACCAAATGCCAAATCTGGCCTCCACATACATACATAACACACACACACACACACACACACACACACACACACATACACACACACACACACACACACACACACACACATTTTTTAAACTCTGATTGGTTATTCCATTGACTGTTTTCAGGGCTTGGGCTTGCATTTCCCTTCGCTTCTCTGCTCCAAGTATTTTCGGTGTGTGAAGTCTGCAGGTAGACCAGCCGAGAACGCCTTTCTTCTCCCGTTCCCTGTACCCTACTCTGCTCGCTTGCCTTCAGCACTCCTTGAGGAATACCAATTGCAATTAGAGTTATTAGCGCCATGCTGCTTTATGTAGATTGCACGTTGGGCAGATAGCCCACAAAACTAACGCAGAAAATGCCTGTCATGCCATGAGATCTTATTTTCAAACATAGCTTAGAGGTGCATACAGCCCCAAGGGAGAACTTGACTGAAGGCTAACAACCAGAGAACATTAAAATCTTGCCAAAATAGTTTTCAGATTTATAGGCTTCCTTTCTCAGTGTTATTTTCTGCACAAGAATATTTACTACAGGGAAGTAGAACCTGCAGATCTGTCTACTTTTCTGCCCTCCACATAACACAGAACAGCTCCCACAGGGAGAAAGAGACAGCCTTGAACATGGCCTTGTACCCAGGAATTCCACCTCAGAAGGGAAGGGTTGACTTTGGCCTAGACAGTCCAATCTCAGAAGACTCTGTAACAGCCCTTTCTCAAAAAGAAAAAAAAAATTGAAATTCTCTGGACTAACAAAAACAGCTTTCACACAATGGTGCTTGCACAGCAAGGAGCAGATCTAAAATATTCTCCATTTAAGGTTATTCCCTATGAAAGGGGGCCTCAAACTGGAATGCGCTGGAAGGAAAATCAGGCGTGGTACAGGCACTTCTCGCTTTCTTATTTATTTACTCCTACGTGTCAGGCTCCTTTCGCTATGAAGTGTTGTTTCTCCTGCACGGAATCACTGGCTGCAACCCTCCTTGGCCCTTTTAACCACACCGTTCTTCCTTATCAGACCTCAGAAGCTGCTGGGCTAATGTGAGTCTTTTACAGGCTTGCAGCTCTTTCCAGTGCAGGAGAACCCCAACAGAATCCGGCTGAAACGTGGATTCTGAATCAATACGCCTGGGATGAGGAAAAGGGACAGGACTGTTCCCAGGTTGATGCCAAGTCATTGGTCCCTGATGACACTTTTGAGTAGCAAGGGTATAAATTCAGTTTTGTTTGTCCATTCTGATTGGTACTTGGTTGGATCAAGTGATCAAGATTTATCAACAGGGAAATAATCACAGGAGGAAAACTGCTCAGTGTGGAGACCAGCCTGGGGTGTCTGGTGTGTATGGGGGGGAATGGTGGCGTAGTACCCGTGAAGACCAGCCTGGAGCGTCCAGTGTGTGTGGGTGTGGGTGTGTGGGGGGTACCACCAAAAGGTTTTGCTGTACTGACTTTTCCTTTTTCTACTTGGATCTAGGGCTCTCCAGGACTCCCAGGGCTCACTGGCCCCAAAGGCATCAGGGTTAGTAATTCCACCCATCTGTTCTGATTGTTGGTTGAACACTAACAATCGTCTAGTTGGAAACATTATTCAAATGTCAGAGAGGAGGCCGTCCATCATGTCTGGCTCCCCAGATGGAGTTTGAGGACAGGAAAGCTAAACCACTAGCTGAGACCAAAATAATGGTCACCAACTTAGGGACAGATGTGAACTGATGGGAAAAGGGCTCAAGAGGACTTTCAAGAGTGCTGAAGATGTTGGTCCTGTTTGAGGTAGAAGTAATTATGAAGCAACCGTAAGTACGCCAGCCTTGGTGATGCATGCCTAGCATCCCACCACACTAGCGACAAGGAAGGAGGACTGAGAGTTAAGGACAACATTAACTACATAGCAAGATTCAAGAAAGGAAGGAAGGAAGGAAAAAAAAGGAAGGGAAGCAAGGGAAGGAAGGGAAGGCAGGCAGGAAAGAAGGAAGGAAGGAAGGAGAAGGGGAAGGAAGGAAAGGAAGGAAGGAAGGAGGGAGGGAGGGATGAAAAGAGGGAAAGAAGGATATATATTAAAAATTCGTGCTTTTCACAGAGGATAAACATTTTACTGCATGTAAAATATAGCTTAAAAATGAATTTCAGCCAGGTGTGGTGACTCACACCTACAACCTCAGCACTCAGGAGGCTGAGGCAGGAGGATTGCTATAAGTTCGAGGATGGGCTGCCTAGCGATATTCCCGGCTAGACTGGGCTATAGAGTGAGCCCTTATCTGAAAGAACAAAAAAAAAAAGAATTTCCCATAACCAAACCATAGCGGCCCCCTCCTAAGAGTTTTATAAGGTAAAACTTCCCACAGGGGAAAGCACTTGTGATGCCTGATGATCTGAGTTCAATATCAGGAACCTATTTTATATATATAATGATTGAGTAGTGCACAATCCTAGCACTCATATATCCAAATAGGAGGTGCATATAGGAGATGGGCAGCCAGCCTGAGTGCTGTATGTCTGAAATATCAAGAGAGGCCCTGCCCCAACAAGGTGAGAAACAGAAAAAACTCCTCCAAAGTTGTCCTCTGACCTCCACAAGTTTACTGTGTCACAGACACCACACACAGGCACACAGAGACACGGACAGACACAGACACACAGACACACAGACACACACACACACACACACACACACACACACACACACACACACCAATTCTGCAAGTGGGAGGCAGGGGCAAAAATTCACAAGCACAAAAACAGCCCTAGATATGTACACAGTGAGCTCGACCAGTCTAGGCCATGTACATAGCAAGATTGACTCTCACCAAGCAAAGCAAAAATTTAAAAAGTTGCAAAGGCCAGATATACAAAGGTTTGCCAAGCCTTTTTGTTTGTTTTTCTAATCACTTTTTGATATACTCAACACATAACTGCAAAGAAATGATCATTGAAATGGCAAAGAATTTTATGTTTATAGGATGAATATTTCTGTTTTTCTCTCTATCCCCTCCTCTTTTATTTATATTTAGGGAATAACTGGATTACCAGGATTTTCAGGTCCTCCTGGACTTCCAGTAAGTAATGAGAAGTATGTTTGCATATGTATTATGTGTGTATGTGTATGTGTGCATATATGTGTGTATATCTATATGTCTGTATGTTTGTACATATATTGTGTGTATATGTATGTTGTATATTTTTGTGTATGAGTGTATGTTTATATGTGTGTGTGCATTTGTATATGTGTATATGTATGTGTAACATGTGTGTATGTATATATGTATGTGTGTATATGTATGCATTGTACATATACACATATATGTGCATGTATGTGTACATTTGGTATGTGCGCCTACTCACACGATCGTCTTAATGCGAACGTTAAAATGGTCACACAAAGAAGCATGTCTGACACACTCTTTACAAGAAGAAAATACACCCTAGGACTGACCATGAAGAGTGTGGATTTGTATGACCTCAGAGCAGTAGCTCTGAGTAGCGGCAGTAGAACAAATAGAACGGCCTGGTTTGTAGCATGGAACAATGCCACAGTCCCCTCGGTGACTACTCTTTCCTCTTTCCTCCCTTCCTCTCTCACTTAGAATGGCATGCCATGTTATCCCACTTTCTGTTTTCCAGATTTTTATCTAAAATATCCACATCTCATCCAACAATCTTTATTTTAGCATGTTTTGTTTCCTGTGATAGTAAATTATATCAAAGAGCTACAATTTACATTTGCTTTGTAAGCATTTGAGGAACCATTTCTAGCCAATGGCCATTTAAAACCATCCTTCATTTCTCTTGAGTCCTGCCTTTTTTTGCAAGGTCCTGGGGCTGGTGAAGCTGCCTCTGTCTTTGTCAGTGAGTCTTGCTCTCTTTCTAGGGTATCCCAGGCCACCCTGGGCCGCCTGGACTGGCTGGTTTACCAGGATGCAATGGTTCTAAGGTATGTCCTGCTTGTACAGGTGGTTAGTGAGAGCATTGCTGGATGAATAAGCGAGGAAGAAGCTGTAATGAAATAGAAATGGACTTTCTAGTAACATCCTTTTAATCAGAATCAACAGCATGATTGAATAGGAATTGCTTCCTTGCTCCTTACATGTGGATTTAAGGGAGTTTTCCAACCGATTCACACAGAAGCTCAGTGACTCTCTTGCAATCAGAGACTAAAGCTTTGAGAACAAAGTTAGTGTCTAGAAAGGAAAACCTGAGCATTGAAGGGCCCTTTTGCCTCTATTGTGTCCCAGCTGAGCCCTGCCCTCCCCCCTAGAAGGGTGGCCACAAGCAAACTAATTACTAAAGTTCCAAAAGCAGCAATTAAAAAGTTCTTGGCACAATTAGGCTGCGGTTTATGCTCAATTTGAGGAGCAGTCGACCCGATCTTACTCTCAACTAAGATAATGGGTTTCTGGCCCTCGGCCCTCTGAGCAGTAGCCATCAAGAATTTGAATTAGTTTGCTAGAGTTGTCAACCCCAGGGTTGGAGGGGCCATTCGGGGATAGCTACCTGTGTGGGATGTCCTAGCACAGTTAAGAATTCTGACAAACTTTCCATGTCTTCTAGGGTGAACAAGGATTCCCAGGCATTCCGGGGACACCAGGCTATTCGGGGCTCCCAGTAAGTCTCCATCGCTCTCTTCACGTCACAGACATAAAGTAGAGATGAAAGTAGTCCATTCTGTATGCCATGTACACAAGCCCCTCATGATATGGGGAAGAATGAGACGTTCTAGAACTCTGAAGAAAGAAAGAAAGAAAGAAAGAAAGAAAGAAAGAAAGAAAGAGAGAGAGAAAGAGAGAGAGAGAGAGAAAGAAAGAAAGAAAGAAAGAAAGAAAGAGACAGCGAGAAAGAAAAAGAAAGAGAGAGAGGAAGAAGGAAAGAAGGAAAGAAAGGAGGGAAAGAAAGGAGGGAGGGAGGGAGAGAGGGAGGGAGGGAAGGGAAAGAAAGAAGGAAGATTATGAGATCACGTTTAGACATTAAGGCTTTGTTTTACTTTGATGCATTCACACAAAGATGTATAATAAGCAGACAGACTGGAGGAGAGGATGTGAGGAAACATCCAGCAATTCAGAGAGAGCAAAGAGAGCAGTGAATGGGAAGTCAGACTTGACTTCAGCATGTAACTTTGAAATCAGGAGGAATGAGCAGGCAGGGAAAGGAGGAAAGGCCCTAATGGCAGAGGAAATCAGAAAGAGTACAGAATAGAAGTCCTGGGGAGGACTGACTTCAGTGAAGGATGGGGCAACCCAAGGATGCTGAAAGGTTTTGTAATACAAGAATTGATGTCTTGGTCTTAGCAAATGACATGAAGTCATTTCTGACCTTGGAAAGCAGTGTTTCCATGACAGGAAGGAGCTGGGAGGCATAAATGGAACTGGGGAGTAGACGGGAGAAGAACAGGATATAAGTTTGCAGGCAAGATGAAAGAAAGGCTGTCTGTACTGGGGGGAGGCAGAAGATGAAGAAGAAACTGTTGATTGTAGCATGAGGGGGCCAGCCTGTTGGGGTTTCTGTCCCGCCCGGTACCTAGCTCAGTCGGTAGAGCATGGGACTCTTAATCCCAGGGTCGTGGGTTCGAGCCCCACGTTGGGCGCCATCTGTAGCATGAGGGGGCCAGCCTGTTGGGGTTTCTGTCCCGCCCGGTACTCCGCAACTGGCAACTCCCAACGAAAATCAATCACAGGACTCCATAAGGTTATAAACTGATTGGCCCACTAGGTTAGGCTACTTATTAGTTCTTACAACTTTTGTTACCCCATTATCCTTATCTACGTTAGCCCATGGCTCCCATGGCTCCGTACCTTTTTCAGCTGGGCAAGTTACATGCTGTCTCTTCGGTGGTCTGCACAGGAGTGGCTGAGGGAGCTTTCTCCTCCCTAGCCTTATCTTATTTTCATTGCCCCGCCTCTACTTCCTGTCTGGTTGACCCACCTATACTTCCTGCCTGGCCAATCAGCGTTTTATTAAAATACATGATTGACAGAATACAGATAATTCTCCCGCACCAGTTGATCTGTTGAAATGTGCAAATTTGAGGACGTTGAAAGCCAGTAGCAAGAATGTTAGAATGTTATGGGGCCAGCAGGCAAAATAAGGAAGTAGAGATGAGGTCAAGTGTATGGATTTGTTTGACCTCTGGTGGTTAATACATTGCTTCTTTCCCAGGGTCCTGCTGGTTTGAAAGGACAAAAAGTAAGTCATTTGTCATCTACTATTATTGAATATCTCTAACCATATGTATGAAAAAGATTTCAATGAATTTATGAAATATAAACTATAACAAACTGACCTCATAAGTCAGGTCCTGGTATTAATAATTCAGATACTATAGAAATTAAAACATGGCACTGTCTCCTATTGAGCAAATTCTTCTGACTCTCACCATAGACAGGTCTTTGAATGGTTATGCCATTCTTTAAGGAAGGATGATCAAGGGGCAGGAAACTGATCTCATGTTTGAGACTCCATGTTCTAGGTTAAGAATTGCTACCAGTTTGGGTATCTCGGGAAATGATTTATTATTCCTTTTCCTTCTATCATTACAAGTTGTCAGATTTTTAAAAAATAGTACAAAAGTGGGAGGAGAGGCTTGTGAAACCCCACCCCACCCTCGCTTCTGTAGGAAGCTAATGGTTGCTGGGGAAGGAGAGAGATTTTCCTCAGTGGTGTAGCCATTGGTAAGTTGTCCATGAGCATGTGAATAGCCCCTCAGCCGTGGTCCTATAAGAAACCTTAATTAAACTCACGGGTGTGCATGCACGTGTGTGGACACACACACACTCACACATACACGTGTGTGGTGGGAAAGTATTGGGTGGACTGTAATCAGCAGGAGTGCTGGAGGAAAGGTGGGTAGTGAGAGTGAACACAGTTGAAAGGCGTTTTATATACAAGTACATAAATGTCACAATGAAATTCACCATTATATATAATTTATAAAGGCTAACAAAAAATTTTAAGAAGTTCTTTGAACTTTTCAAAAATGGAATAACTACACATTCTTAAAACACGTCTCTAAGTTTATCCATCCTTGCAAATGCTCAGCTTTGAGGAGGTACAACCTTGAATAAGCATTCAATCGGGGGGGGGGTGGTTGAAAATATAAAGTTGACTGGGGTTGATGAGTGTCTCTGTTTCCAAGGGTGAGCCTGCTCAAGGAGAAGACAGGGAATTCAATGGCAAAGGTGACCCTGGGCTTCCAGGGCCTCCAGGCTTCCAGGTATGATACTTCTAGAAGGATCTCTCATTCATATTCTTATTCATACCATATCCTATTCATATTCTCTATCTCTCTCCGTTCCTCCCCCATTCCTCCCAGCCTCTTCTTTCTTCTCTTCTCTCCCTGTCTACAATGTCCACCTCACATGTCATTCTAACATTGACTTCAATGGGAGAAGAAACACACTGATACGCAAAAACAAATGACATTGTGGACATCTTTTATTTTCTTCTTAAGTGTCTGTCACTCAAGACTGTTCAGAGACGAGTTCTACTCTCTCTCTGTATTGGCTGAAACCAAGGACAGGTTCACACCATGCATTGAGTACCATTTACGATTGGAGTGCTGAAGAACAAACAACCCGGCTCCGATATTTACACAGCATCTTTATGAGTTTCATTGAAGGGTGGCTCTCTCCCCTTGAACTCCCAATAGTTGCTTCTCTGGTCCATCTGTAGCTAGCCTGGAGGTGTTTCATAATAGATCCAATGAGACACAGCTGTCTGGGGCTTTGTGTTAAACTTTGTGATTCAGAAGGCCCCCTTAGGCAGATATCGACTATAATTGCTAAATTTCAGGCTAATGAACCAGAACTAACTCACCTTAGTTTGGAATTAAGTGTGGGAATTTCTGCGAAGAGACAGGTTATTTACCTCTGTGAATCAGATTTTGAATTGAGGCTGTGGGTGGATGGTGAGCCAGGTCAACTAAACTGTAAAATTATGCTCGGAGCCGAACAACCACAGGCGTGTGGCTAGCAGCAGCAACAAACTCCTGAGAGGAGGTGGGACAGGATGGCTCTTGATCCAGCATAGGGATCAGTGGTGCAGAAAGGACACAGCCGTCTCCTGTCAGTGCACTTCTGAGAACTATTTATTGTGCAGGCCCTGAAGAAAGTGCGACATGTTTAAGGTGCCTTAGAGGCCATTTATCAGCAGGACTATTTCCAGGCTCTAGAGCCCAGATCAGCCAACGACCAGTTTTAAACCCCTTGTCCTCGTGGAGACCACATTCTGATGAGTAGACAGAAAAACATATCAGTCAATAACGGTACCTTGTGTTACAACATAATGAATGCTAATGAGAAAAGTAATGCAGGGAATAGCAGTAGGAAATACCGACAGGAAAGGACTCCAGCTTTGGACAGACAGAGAAGGAGCCCAGAGCTCTGGTGGACGCAGTCAGTTAATTCGAGGTACTGATCCAGCCAAGAGGGCAGCTTTCTGAGAAGGCCAGCTGGAGAAAGAAAGGAAAGAAGCGATCGTATAGGTATAAGAAAAACTAGGCAGCCATATTGCAAATAGATAGGCACACACACCTTTTACTGCGGTGATGCTCTGTAGATGTCTCTGTCCCATTTGTTGAAAATGGTATAATATTAATAAACAATATATATTCACAAAAAAAGAAAGAAAAACTCGGCAGAGAAGCTGTGGGTGGGGCCGGTCCTAAAGGAGGAGGAGAAACACTGTCCAAATACAGGGAGGGAGAAGGGAAAGACAGGCAAGGAGAAGGAGAGAAAGAGAAATAGAGAGGAAAAAAACCCTGAAAACTGCCTAAGTACAGAAGCGTACTGGCAATGCACCATATGCAATAACATTAGACTATCCCAGGTATCTGTTGCCTCCAGCAATGAGTTAGAATGTATTATTATGGTTGGTTGCAGTCACTTAGAAAGGAAGCGGTATGCTCTTGTGATTCCATCAAAACATCACTGTCTAACTTTGGCGTTATTTGACAAGTACACTGAATTCCCTTTTCTCTTAACTTCAAGGGTTTTCCAGGCCCCCCAGGTTTTCCAGGGCCTGCCGGTCCACCTGGTCCTCCGGGAGATTTTGTGAGTATGAAGTCCCTCTCAGTGTCTACATTGGTGACAGCAAACTGTTTGAGAGCGTTCTCTGGCTGGACGTGATTCCTGCTGTAACGTTTCCTTATGGCTTTTCTAGGGTCTTCCAGGTGCCGTGGGACCCAGAGGACCAAAAGTAAGTCTGTGTTCCCACGTTGTAGCAGTCAGAGCACCGTAGCTAGCCCAAAAGCCTATCAGACCACAGTGGGCACCTCCCTGGGATCACAGGAATCCCAACAGGACAGGGGACAGGGCGGGCCTTAACTTAATCCTTGACTCAGAACACTGGGAAAAAGCAAGGATTTCTAATGGATAGACTTCCATTGCTGCTAACCTTGCCTTGTGTCATCAGGTCTTGTAGCAGGCTGCTTTGCAAAATCCATGTACTCTTAGGTGCCTAAGTGAAGGATGACTTTGTGAGGTCTTTAGGTGTTTCTACTAAAAAGTCAAGTTGTAGCCTAAGGATAAAAATGTTGAGTAAATAAAAAGTTAAATTTTTTTTAAAAAAAAAATGTTGCGTGAAGCTAGCCTCGCCAGGGAGGCATTACTAAGCAGTGTTTCTTAATGATATTAATGACCCGATGTGCAGGACCCTTCCCAGTGGGCTCTCGCATTTATTACTTCACTGATAGACGCACGCAAGTAATCTCTCTGAACCTAGAAGAGATAGAGAAAGAAGGGGAGAGGAACGGGACAAGGGGAGGAACAGATTACCTGAGTAGCAACTGAGGTTTGAAATCTCTTGATTCCCCTGCAGCTCTCTACACCAATGGGACAGAGACTGTGGGGGCTGCTTTTCTCTTTCTTGACCAAGTACCCAACAAAAGCAAGCTGAGAAAGGGAAAGCTTATTTGGGCTCAAAGTTCAGGGTACAATCTTGCACCTATATCATAAGGAGAGGGCAATGAAAACTGTGACTTGGGCCTGCCGCTTGCTTTGTCTTCTGTCTGGGATCCCAACCCACAGAATTGGGCCACCCACACTCAGGCTGGGTTTTCTAACCCAATCACCCTAATCCCCCCCCAAAAAAAAAAAAACTCAGAGACACGCCCACGGGTCACCACCATGGTGGTCAATCAAGGTTAACCAACCACACCAAACAGACACACACTCCAGAACATAGAAGCAAAATGAGACTTGGGGAGAGGAGCATGCATGGGCTGGAGAGGCACAACCAACCCCAAGTAAATATGGACGGAAATGCCACAAGGCAATGTTACTTTGTAAGCTAACTTGAAAACAAATTTGAAAAGAAAAGCCACAGCTCAGCAGAAACTTTATAGAAACGAAATGCCAGATAAGTAATACTGAAGACGTGTATCTCCAAAGCAAAGATTCACTGTTCCTCAGACTAGACTGGTGCTGGAAGATTCTTTAAAGCAGAAGTGGCATGTTTTAAACTAAGAAACATCCACACAAAATTTGTTATTTTATGTATATTGTTACTACGTGCACACTTCTATGTGGCAACCTTAGGCTGTTTTCTTAGAAAAAGTTTTAACATGAAAAAATCTTGATTTTACGATATTATGAACATTTTGTAAGGTTTTGTCCATGTTTCTTAAGAGTTAATTAGTAAGATTAAGACACTGAGTCACATTTATAAGACTGCTTCATATAATATTTACTATGAAAACCATTAAAAGAAGAATAATCTGCCCTTGGGAGATTTTTATAAATGATACTGCTTCAAATGCTGGGTTAGCACTTGTTATACCCTGTTTTCATGGCACATGTGTGAAGGACAGAGGACCGCTTAAAGGAGCCAGTTCTCTCCTTCCGCGATGTCGGTGTGGGAAACTGAGCTCAGATGGTCAGGTTGCCAGCAGGTACCTCCATCCGCTGAGCCTTTTCCGTAGTCCCTGTGCACTGCAGAGAGAGTATGGGTACCATATGAGGAAACAGAAGGAGATACGCAGAGAGCTCACTTTCCTCCCCCGCACCTCACTATTCCCTTAGTTCATGAATGAACCAATTGGATCATTTTTAACAGTCTCCCCTCCCGGCCCTACCTCTAATACTTTACAGTGGTGTTAGGTTTCTGCTTTAGCTGTAATGGGTGTTCATACCATAGCGGCCACTGCTGCTGAGTGGAAGCCATTCCTCTCATGTGGCCTCACGTCACTCAGTTGCTAAAGATGCCATGGCTTGCTTTCCACTCTTGGCTTCTCTGACTTGCGAAGTTCAGTTGCTCACCCCTCTTATTTTTAGCATGGCAAAAGCAGGGCACCGGGAAGTGAGGCAGCCAGGAAAGGAAGTTAGGTGGCCAGGAATCTAAGGACTCACCGGGAAGTAGCCGGTCAATGGGCTCAATACCAGACAGGCGCTTCGCCAGAAAAATTCCCCCTGTGCTGGCTTCCGCTCCCCACCTGCAATGTGACATCCGTTATATTCAGTGAGTCTCCAGTTTCCTGGACCCCAAACCGCCACCTTTAAAAGAAACACGTTGCTGTTTTTCTATAAAAGTATTAATAAAGCTTTATAATTTCAAAACTAAGATGAATATATGCCTTCACTTACAAAGATTGAAACGTTAATGAACCCCAATTATTCATATTTATTTTTTAAATGTCATGACTGCAGATGAGAGGGTGCAGTAGAGAAACTGCCAACAAGACTGCTCCGTTATTAGGATGAAGGCTTTCATTATAAATAAGAGAGAAAAGATATCCAGAGACACCTGGAATAGCCCAGAGCAGAGAAAAAAAATGCAGACTGGACACTGGACATGACCACAGAATCAAGGGAGGGAGAGGGCAAGAGAGAAGAGTGGAGATAGTAACACAGCAAGAAATTGCTTGGGGGGAGAGGGCGCTCTGTCTATATAGAGAGAACAAGCAGGTATCTGGAAAGAGGGAGGAGAGGGGGCCTTTGAAATATCTAACAAATACTCGTGAGTAAGGACTGAGGAGTCTGGGGCATGGGCTCTGATATGCAACCACAGGGTCATGTCAGTGGAATCATATGTCCCCTTCTGCCAGATCCAAGAGAAATGATGTTTTGGGGGGACGTTTTATAAGTTCCTGAGGAATGCTGGCTTCTATCTAACTTCCAGAAATCCTTCTATCTATAGTTCAGCTTAAGCTCATTTCTAGACATACAGACTTCCTGAGACCTAACAACGGCATTTCATGTTTTCTTACAGGGTCATATGGGCGATAACGCCATAGGACAAAAAGGAGAAAGGGTAACTGACTTGCCACCTTATGTATTAGTGGGTCAAAAGACACACACTCCCCAGTGCATTTCCCTCTAGTTAATTTGTGGGCCGTATTGAATTGAGTTTTGCTGTATAGGAGGTGGAAGAGGAAACAGGCCTTTGAGAGGGTAAATCTGTGGTGTTGATGATGCTGGGTGGCTCTCATTCTCTGCCGTCCCTGTCCTTAGGGTGTGAAAGGATTGACAGGACCTCCCGGGCTGCAAGGAACAGTGATTGTTACCCTCATCCACCCATACAACACATCGGTAAGACTGTAGCTTTGTGACTATGATTGTTCTTGGTTTCTGGAAAGACATATTGACGATCCCTCATCTCTTGTACAAGTTCCATTATGATCCTTGTTCATCCCAGCTTCCCACTCCTGGTCAGCCTGAAAATCTCAGTTTCATTTCTCCTGATATCTTTCATGGTGAGGGATGGAAAAATTAAATGGAGAAGTAAAGCCATGTAACTCCAAGGCAATGGCCCAATTCTGTTCACGCTCTTCTCTGTTCCCTCTTATCGCCCCTAACACAGTATGTGTGCTTTGATACAGTTGGATGGCAATGACCTATAGATAGGGTAGAGGCATTTTATAGTCTAACAGGACCCTTGGCATGGCCATTGTAACCCCAAGGACACACTCAGTCTTCTCCAAGAGCACTGCTCCTCGTTCTTTGGACACTGTGTTTGCTCCTACAGTGGGATGACTAAGAAGGCCAGGCTATGGAGCTGAACTGAGTGGTTAGGAAATGAATTCACCGTACCATGCGCCAATCCAGGCACTAACCTGGGCTTGGGAAGTCTGGGAGGGTAAATAAAGAACTCATATGGTATGGAATTAACCAAGCAACTAAATCCTGAAAATTACATTTAATTGTTTTCAAAAATAGTTTAGTTGAGGGGCTGGAGAGATGGCTCAGAGGTTAAGATCTTTGCCTGATCTCCCAAAGGTCTTGAGTTCAATTCCCAGCAACCCCATGGTGCCTCACAACCATCTGTAATGAGGTCTGGTGCCCTCTTTTGACCTGTAGGCATACACACAGACAGAATATTGTATACATAATAAATAAATAAATAAATAGTTTAGTTGAGACATGTTTTAAATATAAAATATCCATTTTAAAGGGGTATTTAATTAAAACCTCATGGGTTTTAACTATAAGAAATCTTAACAATTTTTGTATGATAATATACAGCTTATAATATCAACTCGTTATGTTCAACTCAGTGGCTGTAAGGTTCACTGACTTGGGCAACCACAATCACTGCCAATCTTTTTTTTTCCCCCGGTGCTTTCTATTTTCATTTTCTAAAACATAATTTCTTTATGGAATCTTTGGGAATTTCACATCATGCACCCCACCTCTTAGTTCCTCTCTATCCTGCCCTCTTCCTTGGACATGAAATTTTTTAAAAAAAGCAAACAAACACAAAGAGGAGAAAATAAAACAACAACAAACCTCTTCCCTGTTCCCTCTTTCCCACCTCTCCAGCACCTCTTCACTCTTCCTGGTGGCACTGGGAACCACGGTGTGTCATACAATATACCTCTTTCCCAACCAGCTTTACTTGAAATGTTCGTTGCAGTGAGTTCTGGTCTGGTTCGGGGACTCTGGTTTCTTGCACACCATCATCACGGGACCCTCACAGAACTCTTGGATATCTCTCAGCAGCTGCCCCAGTCACGGAGGTCCTGCGATCAGGGTTCCACGAGGTCTTTCATGAGCTCCAGAAGGTCCAAGATGGGGTAGATGTTAGAGTGGGCCAACCCCAGACCTGGTTGTGAGTCTGGGTGGTAGTTGAGCTGGTCAGTCCAGGCCACTGGGGCCACCCACCTTAGGCGAGGGGTGGAGCCAGCTCCCTTTTGCCCATGCCATCGGGGTCAGCTATCCCCAACCTGTGGTAAGGGGTGGACCCATGGGAGGAGTAACTCTCTTGCTGTAGCATTCAGCAAAGGACAGGGCCCGCTATCCCAGGGCCAGCAAAGTGCAGGGTCAGCTCTGCATGGCCCTCTGATTCCACCATACATGGTTTTCATGGCTCCATGAGGCCACATGGACCACAGACATCAACAAAGACCCCAACTGCATTAGGACCAGGAATCCAGACATGGCCCTCAGCAGCAGCTTGGGCCCAGAATACATCCTGGCTCCTTGTGGAAGCATAGGCCACACAGATCAGGATGGCTCTGGTGATGTCACACCTCCTGGATACCATCAAGGCCACATGTTATGGCCATGACCCCAGGCTTCTGTGCAACCTTTGGTGGAAGCACAGACCTAGACATGGTCCTTGGCAGCAACCAGGCCTAGATGTCCATTGTCCTGGGTAGCAGATCGCAAGCATCCTCAATAGCATGGCCCTCTGACATTAATTTGGCCACAGATCTCAGGCATCCATATGGCCTTCAATGGTAACAGGAACCTCAGACATCAACACTGATCCTAGATTCACAAACCCAGATATGGTCCTCAGCTTCACCTCTGGTCTGGATGTCACCATGGCACAGGCCACTCAGATCTGCATGACTCTGGCTGGTAGCATATCTCTTGGCTGACAACATGGAGTCACGTGCCTGACTTGACACTCCCCCCCTACACACACACACACACACACACACACTGACTCTGAACAGCAAGATAGCTGAGATGAAAATGGTTTGTTTTCTGGTGTAAGTCTCCTCAGAAGATGTCCATGCATGGACCACACTGCCTTGAATATCCATGATCAAAGCTAGAACCATAGGCTATGCTGGTGTCCATGATCCATGTTGTGCTGTGGGAGGCCATGTTGATCTCTATGATATGTGCTGCCACCAAGGACCAAGGTGGATGTCTATGATCTGAACTGCCATTAGAAACATGTGGAAGTCCATGATCCATGCTACTGTAGGCTGCTATGTTCAAGGAAACTCCTTTTGCAGTGATATTGATGACTGCAGACTCATCACTGAGAATGAGAGACATTGATGGCCTCTGTGACAACCTCCACCCTCACCACCCCCCCAAAACAGTCTATACCGTACAGGAAGATTTAAAATTGTGATAAAGATGCTAAAGTGTAGTTCTTTACAGTTGTTGGCTTCTGGCAGAGGGTTGGGAACAGACTCGGTTTTCTTTAAGGGACTGGCCACTGGGAGTTTGACCATACTTCGATGAGTATATGGGCAACACAAATTGAACTTGGTAGTTTTGGGGTGAGAATGATGGGGTGCTGTTAGCCTCCGCACTTTTCTGTGAATACCCACACCCGATCCAAGCGCGCGCTTTCCCGAACTCGGTCCACGAGAATGGACGACTGTCCTAAGGGTTTAAACACACAGACACAAGAGACCTGCTCATTCACCAAAGAGTAAATGGCCACTTTATTAAACTCAAGTCGGGTATTTATATTAGTGGGCAATGGGGGCAAAAGGGCACGGCTCCCTCCCATCAGGAGCAGTAGAAGAAGATTACAGGTGCCCGGTGCCTCAGGCCAGAAGCAGCTGGGGGAGCCAGGCGTGGCAGGCGTATAGGGCCCCGCAGCTGGAACCTTGTTTACAGGTGGAATTACCATAACAAAAGAGAGCCAAGTTCTTTCTAAACTATACCCTCAAGCCAGTGCTAGTGCAGAATCTCCAGGGAGCCAGAGGTCAAATGGCCAGGTGAGTCGCCAGGAAAAAGACCTGGGTACCTACAGGGTGCAAGAGTGGGAGGGCTAACCTAGGAGGAATGGGAAAGGGAGTGTATTGGTGCATTTCACTAAATTCCCAAATAATTAGTAAAAAATGTGTTGGGGCGGGAAGGAGAAAAATATTGTACCAATAAAAGTAATTTGAATGCGTTAGGAATGAAGGTACTTACAGAAAGCTGGTTTGGTAGTTAAATAACTATAATGTAATCCAATCCAAAGGATACTTAATTTTCTGCACTCTCTGACCGCCTTTTAGTGCTAAAAACACAGGGCAGAGTTTCTACCTCTCACACACTTCTTCTTCCAAGAGATCAAATTTCTTCAAAATTCCCAAAGAAGCATAAAGTGAGCTGCCTTTTAAAGGGTGCTTTGAACACTCAATGATGTTCTTTTAGCATCGTCTCCTAGGGAAAGGGCATGAAAGAACAAGTCAGCAGTAACACCTGCACCTGGAGAGCAGGCAGGAGACTGTCAGTAGACTATTTTACTAGTCCTCAGCCTCATTATACAGATGAGTGGATTTAAGGTTAGTGCCCAGACCGGTCTGCTGTTCAAGGGTTGATAACATGCTGAGATAATACTGGTCCAATCCTTGGGGTGCCTGTGCCAGGGCCAAGGATTAGAACCAGGGCTCAGGTGCTCTCCTGATCTAACTCCCCAGCACAAAAGCACATTTTAATAAAGGACATAGTACATCTTCACCAAAGGCAACAGAATGTTTTGAAAACCATCAATAATCATATCTATATTCTGACCTTAAAAGAGTTTAGAAGTCTGAGCTCTACCGATTACCATGTGATGTTTGGTTTTTCTATGTTATCTGTTTCAGTTAACTGTAGTGAATGATTAGAAACAGAGTTGTAGAAGGACTCTGATCTTACACCGTTATTGGCTGGCAGATGTAATAGTAACTAACACAGTAACTAACACAGTAATTGTGTTAGTTACTATTACATCTCTACTGGAGAAACACAAGGGGTTCCTTTTCTTTGAAAGGTTGTATTAACGTGAGTTCATGTTTAAATGTGAAAGGTGAGAAATAAAAAGAACCATGCCCTGCTGTCATGAGAACCAATACTGGTTTTCACACCTAGTTTCACTGGACAGAGGGTATTTCATGCAACTGGTTTAATCATATTTGGTTGGTTTGTGATAATGACCTTGAATTGTATTTGTAACAGGACTTCAAGGGGGAGAAAGGAGATATGGGAGAGATGGGTGAACCTGGGCGTCCCGGACCCTTGGTAGGTGATTTAAGTCATTTTATTCCTATGACACATAAAACAGAGCCTTACTACATATGGTTAAGAATATTTTTATTCCTTGACATTTTGTACAGATATGCACATGATAAATGTATCATGATTTATGTCCACCCATGACTCCTCTCCCACTCCCGCAATTCCTCTGATCATGCCTCCTACCATGTGCCTTATTCTTTATCAGTAACCCACTGAATACAATTATTACAATCTTTATCCATATTTTGATGAATGATCAACCTTTAAATATTGATATTGACTGAAACACAGAGCCCAGGAATATTCTAAAATTATTTCTGGGTAAAATCTCTGCACTACTTTAGGTCTGACTTGACTATAGCACCTGCTTTTGATATCTATTTAAAACTTTTTTCATATAATATATTTATTTATTAATTGGAAATTTCACCTAAGGCACCCCAATTATATTCATTTTCTAGTCCTCTCCAGTCTACTCCTGACCCATATGACCTCCCCCGAAACAGAAAAAGGAAAAATTACCAAGTCCAATCTGAGTTACCCTTGTGCTCACTGGAACATGAGAAAACTCCCAGTGACCGGCCCCTCAAAGAAAGCTGAGTCTTCCCCAACCCCACCCTGCCAGAAGCCATCAAGTGTGAATAGGTGCAACTTCAGCTTTCCTGCCACAGTTTTCAAGATAAAACCCAATCTTATCATAAGACTTTTAGATTACCTAATTTTAAATATGACCAATAGAATGGATAAATTGTTAATCCTGAAGGTACAAAGTCAGAAAGTACATTTCTAAAGCATTCCATAACTCTGATCCCACAGGGGCCACCTGGAGACTCCTATGGATCAGAAAAGGGTGTTCCTGGAGAGCCTGGTCCAAGGGTAAGGTGGAAACTCAGCATCACGTAGAGCCCAGGGAAGGCAGGACTTGGGAATCTTTGGGTCACAGAGTGAGATGCTCCAACTAGAAATGTTCTTTTCAATATTTTTAAGTTTTGGTGGAGGGATTTATTTTTTCCAAATATCTGAACATTTCAAGCCTAAAACAAGCTCCGGGGACTTCAGAAAGCTAGGGCAGGACCCTCTCTCTACCTCACTTCTTCTCTGGGTACCAAGTCTATTCTGTCCAAGAGATGATGATCTTCTGTGAAAGGGAAAAGGAATGAGGTACAACCCCAGCCAGTGTCAGGGTAAAGACATCTAAGAAGAAACTGAACACACACACACACACACACCCCTATTGAAAACTGCAAAGATTCTTCAGCTGCATTGGCCTGGCTTGTTCATGTGTTTCCCCCTGGAACAACAGCTACGGCCACAGGGGAAAGGTCACTGATTGGCTAGGCAGGGGGCGCCTGTGGAATACAGCGAGAGAACCAATCAGCTCAGAGAGAGAACAGCTCCCCAAGTGTGTCTGGAAGTGGGGTGCTGGGAACACAGAAACAACTGGGGCCACTTCCCCACTCAGCTTCATTTTGGAAGATTTAAACAGATATAGCATGTGAAAACCCTAAAAAGCATGGGCTGAGGCAGGAAAAGTGGAGTGGGGATGTTCAAGGAAAAGTGATACAGCTTGCCTGATTTTAATCTCTCAGAAAGGGTCCAGACCATAACGTTCCATCTGAAAGCCATGTCTGCTCGGACACCACAATATTTAAATATTTGTCTAGGATTTAAGAAATTGCATTTCAAATCACTAAGTTATAAGCACTTCCTTCTCTCTAAATTCCTTATTTACTTCTCTGCTTGGTGCTTCCCTGGGTCTCCTTCCAGTATCAGTGTGGGACATGAACTCCACTAAAAGCTTAGCTGTCTTCTTCTCTCCCTGCTTTTGACTCTAATCACTGATCCTACCTGGTATCCACCTTCCCTGGGAAGAGATGCCCATCGCCTGTAAGATCGGGAGTCTTACCTTACAAAATCAAACAGTGAGGAATCTCCATAGGGCTTTCTTGCCTTACGTCAAAAGGAAATTGTATCATGGATGTTTTCTATGTTTACTAAAGTCAACCTGTTTAATGTAAGTAAAACTTAAGTGGTTTTATTTTAGGGAAAACCTGGCAAAGATGGTGCTCCTGGCTTTCCTGGCACTGAGGTAAAGCAAGCCGATTGATATCCTGGAAGCAGCAGTGATACTAAGTGAAGGTTATTTGAGAGTCATGAGGTGATCTCAGCTTTTACAGACTACACTTGGCTCTATAGACCCACTGGGCAAAGGCCAGCTGAACACACCTAGTGATACGCCAGACCACGCAAGACCAATACCGCTCAATCTTCTCAGATACCGTATCCACAGCAGCTGATCTCTCAAAGTAGCAGAGTAGATAGATCCCAGGGACTGGGAGGTGTGGTGAGTTGGAGGGACAGGAAATGGTTAGGTCAAGGGATGCAGAAGTGACATTTGTTCCCAGGCACAGTCTCACCGTCAGGTAACTAGAATCAACAAGGGTGTGTTGTCTACTTCAAATTAGTTAGGAAGATCTTTAACACCGTAACAAACTGACAGACAATTGAGGGGGTGGATGTGATTAGTTCCCTGACCTGATCAATACACGAAGTACACAATCTGGTAGATAAAATGTGATTACATAAATCACAACTGGTGGGACCTGGAAAGATCGCTTTGTATACAAAAAGTTTATATGACTATTACATTTTGATTTTGGAAGTTAATTTTAAATATTTAAAAATTAAAAAGTTCTGCTGTACTCACTTCATAGAGATGCAAGTGACTCATGTCTTCTCATCTTCTGCCCTTTTATTTTTCCTACAGGGAGCCAAGGGCAACAGGGGCTTTCCTGGGTTAATGGGTGAAGCTGGCATTAAGGTAACATCCTCTCTTCAGCCTTTTCCACCTGGATGGGTATTGCCTACCTTCCCCAGAATAAGGGATTGCAATCACAGGCTTTATCAAAATAAGCCGACGTTGAGTTGAAGTGAATTCTTTGAGTCTGTCTTCTGTCTTCTGAGGTTTCCTACCATCATACAGCAAAAGCCATCAGTATTACTGAGTATTTCCTGTCCCCGGCTGAATGCTTCTCAGATATTCCTACTTAGTCGATCAAAGTCACACCTGGGAAATGGGGGCACATCCCATTCCACAGATGAGAAAATTGTCTTCTGTGGAAGTCTATCACACGGCAGGCATTTGTGGTCTCTCCTACCTTCCTCACCACAGTGGGACCGTGGTTACTTTCCCCGGACGTGGACTCCAAGCTCTCACCCACTGTGGTTCACAGACCCCTTCCGGTCTGTCTTTCTAAATTTCAGCCTCCTTCAGATTTTTGTTGCTGTGTTGTTTTCCGTTTCACTTTTATTTATTTGTTGGGGAAGGAACACATGAACCAGAGCACACTTGTGGAGGTCAGAGGAAAGCTCATTAGGAGTTGCTTCTCTCTTCTACCAAATGGGTTCGGGGAATCAAACTTGGATAGCCGGGCTTGGTGGCAAGTCCCTTCACCCACTGAGCCATCTTGCCGGCCCATAGGTATTGCTAATTTTAAAAATTGTGTTACTGTTAACAAAGTATTGAGATTAAAAGCTGTGGTTTGACCTTTGGCCAGGAATCGTGAAATGTTCTCAGTCTTCAGTGCTGGTTTGATTAATGTGTGCGGTCTGAACTATGGACACTGAGCAGACTCTTCCTCTCTGGTCTTTCCCCTGGTTCTCTCTCTCTCTCTCTCTCTCTCTCTCTCTCTCTCTCTCTCTCTCT